TCGTAAGTGAAACTCAGAGAGAAGAAGTGTAGGTGGAGCCGACGCGAAGAACAAGAATACATGCGAGTGCTGCGATCATTTGGCATGAAAGACAGGAGAAATGACCCAACGATGATCGACTGGGATGCTTTCCGAGCGTTTTCGCCCCTTTTGGAAAAGAAAACGGATGAAGAAATGCAAGAACACTTGTATTGCATATTGGCAATGTGCACAAAGGTTTGTCAAAACTCAACATTACTCTTTTTTTTGCTATTAGCACGTACTGTAGACCATATTCATTCTGTGGAACATTCTGCAAAAGTTCTATGGTTGAATGATTGTTTTCCAACTTGCATGGCCGAGAAATTCTAACACAAAACTGCGTCAGTGTCAGTGCGCGAGATGTCGAGAATATGACATTCAAAATCAATAGAAACCGCCTTTTTTGAAAAGTTATTTCAAAATAAAACCAAATACCCTTTTTGTACCTTAAAAAATTCAAAATAGAACGACCTCATACCAATTTGAACATTACTAGTGGAATTAAATTTTCTAGGCGCAAGGCGGCGAACTCTCAGCCCTCGATACAAAACGAGCTCTGTCTGTTGATGCTATGACGTCAAGAAAAGCCCAGAAACTCATGAATCGCTTACATCTGACCCGGAAAGTCCACGCGTTAGCAGCCGGTCTTGACAAGGTCACGCCAATGTTGAAATTGTGCTCTGCTGAAGCTATGCCGTCTGGCTGGACTACCCAACATGACAAAGAGCTTATTTCTGTTTGTGATCAGCATGGAATCGACAATATCTCGGCTAACATCCTGGCAAAACCCTCGTTCCAAAAGGTAGGAATATGAATAAGTCTCTTTATACTATAAATTTCTTTTTTTAGATCATCCGACCTACTGAAAAGACGCTTCTGCGGCGTGTCATCGAAGTGTGCACAACGGTAGAAACTGGTAAATGGAATGGAACAGCCAGCACAGAAAGCGTTGACGATAGCGATGTGGAGGAAAGAGTACGACAACAGCAGCAGGTATGAGTAGTTTATACTTCCCTTTTCAATGAGTATGTCTACTTCTTCTAGGTGCGACGCGGTCGCAAACGCACGGTCGACACAGATGCCCAAAAGATGCGCGCGCTCATGCAACAGTCTATGCTTTCTCAAATGGGAGATTTGCCGCTTGCTGCTGCGATGTTACAATCGGCTATGTTTATGCCACAACTTATGGGTAACAACGCAGCGGCTGCGC